GCAGCAGCCAAGGCGAATACACCTCAGACCGTGCATCAAAATGGGTCCAGCGCGGCTGATTAGCCAGCGCCTGAAACGGTTCCCCCAACTTGCTTAGTAGTCAACTTACCCGAAGATGTGACAACTGATAAACTGGAAGGAACAACTTGCCCGGAACAACTTATGCTAAGAATCTATATTATCTCTCCCTGATTCTGCTTGCCCACGCTCCCCATGGTTCAAAAAGAAATCCTTATTCTAGAAAACGGGTTGGATGTGGCTTTTGCGGAACCCTCTGTAGGATATTAAAAGTGTACTAAAAGAGTGCTAAAAAAAATCTACGGGGGAAACACAGGCGAAATCCACAAAAAAGACGCATTCAAACCGCTTTCCAGACTTATGCATGGCAGTTATCGGGAGATACTTATGCGCTTCGTCACATCTCACTGGCAGGGAATCAACAGCGAGGCATTGCAAACTGATCCACCTCTGGTTGATGTTGAAAAGAATCTGAACCCGGATGATGCATTTTGATGCTCTTGTTTTTTGGGGGACCCAAACTACAGCAGGGTTGCCATTCAGTGGAAGCCCTAGCCCGATTCAATGGATTAACTAAGTTGCACATAAGCCCGTGACCATTCGTCTGTGTCAAACCATCTGAGCCCTCAAATCTCCACAGGCTTGGAACTGGTGTCCGGTAAACATGTACTTACATGGCGTCGAACCAATTCTCACCGACTTACCTCTTTGACTTGCACTAAGGCCGAAACGCAAAGCGAAGTGCAAGCATTCTGAGCCTCCCGCTCAGAAATGCCCACGCCGAGCAAACTGCCTGCCATGCAGGCAGAAGAAACGGCCCGTTTCTCCGCGCGCACGAGCGAGCGAGCGTGTGGTCCCGGAGCGTCAATCTTGCCGCGCAGACCGACGTGGGCCACACGGACTGGGCCTGAACGGATGCAGCATGCAGCTCAGCCAAGGGATGTGGACACTCCGGGCCTCATAGCGCTTGGCTCGAGGGAGAATACGCGCAAGGAAGTAACTCAGACAATCAGGCCAGATTTGAGATCACCCATTCGTCCTTCCACGGCCTTTCAATCAACATGATCAAAGGACACACGCAGGATAAAAGTGCCTTTTTGTTCCTGGCGAATGGGACTTGACATCTCCAGCGCTTGGGCGGCAACCATGCCGGAAGAATTACTCCAAGAACTGTCCTGCATGCCGACAGGCCCAGGGGGTCCGAAACTTTTGTGGACACCAGAATGTAACCAGACATATATGGTGTTTATGTCCGCCATTTGGAAGGGTGTCCCAACCAGTACAGTAAGAATCATAGGTCGCCACTTGGCTGCATGTGGTCCAACAAGGCAGTCCGTCATGTCTTTGCAATGTAGAGGCCTTGAATTGCTTCCCAGAGCCGGAGCCCCTGTACCGCATGGCCCTGTCCTTTTCAAGCTCGCCATGTCTGGACCTGGGCAAAAGTCCGACGCTAAGTAAAACAGAAAAGTATGCCCATGGCAGCCACCTGGAACACCTGGAACTGGCAGCAACTTGCATACCTTCAACGATTCCATTCTTGAAACCATTGGACAAATACTCCGCGTTAGGCAGGTGATTGGTGAACAGCGACTTGAGGTTCAGCTGAAATGCCTGCATGTACAATCAAAACTTCTTCAAAAACAGTTCGGCCGAAAGACGTATGAGCAAATTGCCAATTGGGTTCTTGGAACCAACCACAATCTCTTAGTCTAGGCTTGAGGACTTGAACAAGCCAAACAGTAAATGCATGTCTCTCCCAATGGGGTGCCCGCCAAAATGGGTATGTTGCTTTCAGTTTCCTTTGTAACGATTCCGAAAAGGGTGCCAGAAAAACAAAAAGCAAAAACGTAAAACTTAACTTACATGAACAAGCACAGAAGGAACAGGGAAAGTCCTGGTACATGTCGACGTACCGCATGTCCGGCCTGTTTGATCCACTTTGGTTCTATCAGCAATCTCTGAGACCCTTGCCCGATGATTCTCCAGCCCTCCAATGCTGGACATCCAATGCCATATTTCCCTTGGACATGAGATCGTGAAAGATTGTTGACTTTGGGCTCTGTCTGCCAGGTATTGTCTTTGAGACTCGGTGTTCATGAAAGTCTGGCCACACAAGCATGCCCTGTGCCAGGTACAAGTTGCATGCCGATATAACCAGGCCCAAGTATGAAGTTGCAGTGTGGATGCTTGTCCAAGGAATGATGTCAAGAGCTCAGTCATTCTCATGTTTGATGCTTACCATCAGCCATGCGCTCCATATGCTGCAAAAGTGCCCATCTCACTTCAAATTGGCACCCAAAAAGATTGCTGTTATGAACAAAACCTTCAAGGTGCAATGCCTGGAACCCTACGCAGGCCAGGGCAGGGACGGATAAAACGAGGCTGACGCTCGAGCACCTCGAGATGTGGCCAAAAACGATCTGCATGCAACCACACTGCGAAAACCCTGGGTGCGATGTGATTCGCATCCGGGTCCCAGGGTGGGTACTTATTTGAGGGGATTCTTTTTGTGGTGGCTTTGAAGAAAAACAAAAACACAACCAATCTTGAGAGTCCATTTCGATCCTTCGGCGAGACAGAGTTTGCGAAGTGATCACGGAAACCATATTGCCCGCCCGTTCCGTTCTGAGAAGCTTTTCCTGTTGCCCCGCTCGCGTTGGCCAAGGGGCTTCTACGCTTCAGGAAAACCATATCATATAGTCTTGCTTGTTTCAACGGGGTCAAGGGCAAATGTGGGTCCCTGAGCTCAAGGAGTCCTGCCTCATCGTGCCTCATTGATGCTTCCAATTCAGTGTGAGTTCCCCGATGTCCCCTTACACGGGAATCCCAAGGGAAACTACGCACTTTGGGTGGTCCCCTGTTCACAAACTGACTTCGCTTTGAGCAATCCCCACCCTCGACACTCACGAGTCTACGACCGTGAGCACGGTTGTGTGAATTCAAGCATGGTTTTCGAGTGGCTTGGGGCCTATGACTGCTCAACAAGCTTTGCATTGAGAGCCTTGTCCACCTGTCTGTGTGTCAAACTCCACTTGTCTGCGAGCCGATATCGAGAACTCAAACATCGGTTCCGTTCACAAAAGCCAAGCCCCTTCCAAAAAGACACCCGACGGGGGATTAAACGAAGTTGCTTATTCACAACCCAAAGCAACACAAAAGCATCACCCTTTCCGAGCCTCAGGGCACACTCAAAACACGAAGGCACCAACATGAAATGTAAACGCAACTGTGTGCCGGGCGGGACATTAAGCAAAACCAGACTGGGGAGCTGCTCTGGCGGGATACTGGCGGGATCCACTGGCGAATGCTGGCGAGCCGCTCCGGCTGGATACTGGCTGGATACTCGGCAGGAATACTCGGCGGGATGCACTGGCGAGCTGCTCTGGGATACTCAGCGGGATGCCGGGCGGGATCCGCTGGCGGGCTGCTCTGTGGTGGGATACTCGGCGGGATCCACTGGCGAGCTGCTCTGGCGGGATACTCGGCGGGATCCAGTGGCGAGCTACTCCTGGATACTCAGCGGGATACTGGGCGAGATCCACTGGCGGGCTGCTCTGCGGCGGGATACTGGGCGGGATCCACTGGCCAGCTGCTCTGGCGGGATACTCGGCGGGATCCACTGGCAGGATACTCTGGCGAGCCGCTCTGGCGGGATACTCGGCGGGATCCACTGGCGAGCCGCTCTGGCGGGATACTGGCGAGCTGCTCTGGCGGGATACTGGGTTGGGGCGTGGTGTAGAAGCATCGCAAACGCGGATTCCAACATAAAATCTAACAACCCCTTCCTGTCGGGTGGGGCAGAAATATTGCCGGTCAACCGAACAAGCGGGCGGGCAGGCGACCAAAGGAACCCACCCGCCTCCTGGATCTCCCGCGGCTCCAGCCAGTCTTTGAGCTCGTGGAAGTCTGCCTCGAAACACGTGCACCACAATGGAAGCTTCGGATTAATGCGGACGACAATACTAGATCACGAGTGGTTGCCCGCTATGTAGAAAGGATCTACTAACTTCCCCTGACTGGGGTCCGCCGGATTTATCCGATGTCAACGGTAGAACCCGTGATATCTGTTGGGGATCCCGAAATGGCTCATTTTGCTGCTTGGAGAACATCAAACGGTCCAGTGCAACCCAAAGAATATTTGCGGGCGCGTGCCGTCAAAGGGGTCGACCAGCCAACCCTGGGCGACCTGTTCAAACAATTGCTGAACCATCCTGGAACATTGTCGCCAGCAAGTGATCACGCAATCAGGGGTCCATTCCTGGCAAATTAACCATATACGAATGCATCTACCGGAGAGAAAAGGGACATCTTGCCGTGTTCCAATATGTATTGCGAGGCGCTGCCTTTCCAACGGGGTCTGCCAATTGGTTCGAAGCACTTCGGGGTTCTGAGCTTCGCACGATTGGTCCAGGAAATGCCAGGTTTCTGTGGGGCGCTAGAGGGGAAGATGCGGCGCAGCCATCCCTGCCCCGCCTTGACGAGCGGCAACTGAGCCATGGCAGCACATTGACTTGCTAATAAATTGATTTGGCTTGACTGATGCCGTTTACCAGCTCTCAGAAACTGTTTCTAAACTTAGTTGGCAGGCGCTGTTCTGAGCATATCTTGCACATGGAGATCCGAAACCACGCCTGTTTCTGCATGCCGCTTGGCAGCATCTACATGAACCGAACCGCAACTGTCGACGCACCGACTGATCGTACATGTCTATAAGTATCATGGTGACAGCGGAACAGGCACCAAACAACTGAGTGAGTAAAGTTCCAAGGAGAGTCACGGGCCTTGCTGCCTTACGGTGTAGGAAGTATTACAATGTGGCAACTTGGCCCACTGGCGTCCGAAAATTGTTCTGATTCTTGATATTTGATCTTCCTTAGTCTACCTGAAATATTAAGTTTTGCAAAGAAGCACCCAGGAAATGTGCGGAAAGATGTCCTGAGGTTGAAAAGATGTGTGGCACTGGCCATGGCTCAGTTTCTGCAGGCTGCTGCGCTCCGCAGCTATTCGCTGCAAGCCGCTCACTTTACCTGAACCTGGCCACTGCATTTGGACAGGATGCAGGGAAAAGCCCGGTTTCATCTTCAATCAACAACTCGTGATGTCAGACATGAAGAATAGCTTCAATGGCCATTCACGTGGAAGCGTTGGCAGGCCTAGTCATGTATTTTATGTGTGTCTGCGTATGTGGCAGGATCTAAATTCGCAAGGTGCAAACTCCTGACACAATCAGCTTGTGGCGCAAGATGATTCCTTGTTTGTCATTCCTTTCGAGATTGAGTGGCAAGTAATAATCTGTGTTCCCTCGCGTCCCAAAGAGACAACACATGGATTCTCATTTGCTCTTTCGTACCTATCCAAAAAAACAATATTTCAAACAAGTGTAAGCAAACTCGTAACCCACGAAGAAAGCTGCACACTTGAGCGCACCAATCGGACTCCAAAGCCATCATCTTGAAAGGCACCTGGGCAGCCGATGCGGTTGCAATACTCATCTTCGGGATTGGACACTTGTCCCTGATAGCCATTCTTAGGCTTCTAGTCCAGGTGTCCAACCCACATAACTGAGAAAAGAGGCTGGAACTCAGGTACTTCTGAAGGAAAACTCTGCTGAATTGAATAGCTAGCTTAGGTCTTGAACTTCGTGCTGCGTTCTGCACTCAAGTTGGCCAAAGTTGAAAGCCCAAAGGTCAAAAGGTCAGCCAACTGAACAGTTCTACCAATCCTCTCAACGCTCGAGCCCTTTGGTAGCTTTGGACGTGGCCCTTGTGTTGGTTTACTTGCGGGCTGCTGTCCGTGGCAAATGCGAAAACCAACGTTTCAAGACCACAGTCACGGCTGCTTCTCAAAGCCCTATGCTTCCTTCAATTATTTGAAGCGTCAACGGGTTGCCGCCATGGTGACTTTGGTGTCCATTTAAGCTAACCTGAAAGAGCACCAATTCACAGTATGGAGACAAACAGATTCATGGTTGCACAAGTTTGCTGTTTTATTGGCGCAACCCAAAATTCTAGGCCCAGGTTCTTGTGCAAGTGGAGCACTTTCTGGAAGCTTTGGCGAAACCCACCGCAGCACCTGCCAAATGTACCTGGATACGAACAGCCCGTAAGTTCATTAGCAGAACACCACGAAGAAATGCGGCGGGCAGAAAAACACAAACACACCATGCGTGCGGGGGGGGGGGGTCTCTTTGTTGAGAGTACCTTCTTTTGGATGGTGCTGAAAGGGAAACTAGAAGGAACACCACGATGTTAAGTTTCAAAACTTTCCACATCCGCCATCTCCTCACCGATGGCAAGCACCATCTTGCCATACATCTTGACAGGGGGCTCTACAGCTTTGGCAGCATCCAAAAGCAAAAGAACCAAGACCACATGATAGCCCTTTGCCTTTGCCAAGATCGAGGCAGACAAGAATCATTTAATGAACAACATTGGCACGAGCAGCGGTACTGTCAGCTGCTCCGGCACTTCCAATATATGAACGCCAATCCTGCACTGACAATGAACCCACTCAGCATCTGCATGTTGGCATTCAGCTGGGAGAATGGCTTGACCCACATGAGCAAGCCCATGGTCTGCACACTGAGAAGGAACCAGGTGATGCCGTTGTTGGGGATGAATCTTTGGAGGGCATCTGTGCGGCACTCCGTCGGCAGAAGCAAACATGCAATGTCACATTTCTGAAGATCGCTGGAATGCAGCTGGTCATGACGGCAATGGGCATCGGATAAATATCACCAAGATGGGCAAGCCAATGGATGAGAAGGTAAACGCAGGGATCCACCAAAGGTGCCCAAACAGCAATCCACCTGAGCTTGTGCCTCTGGTTCTATTCAACTCCACGGACAATCATCTGAGCACCTACGCGACCACACAAGAAGTTCAGGAATGTGATGCGACAACAGGTTGAATCCCCAGTTCGCCCACAAACCAGCAGCTGGTGCACCAAGGGTAAGAAAGTCATGGCAGGAATAGTCACCGTGATGAGGACCAGCGCAAGACTTGATAAGAGGCGCCGAGTCTGTGTCCGCCCATCAGTGCACCGGTGAAGAAGATTCTTGCCATCACACGTTCAACGGACTCCATAAAGGGTGTGCTCTTGGCAGATGACGGACCTGGCAGCACGGAGGAGAAACTCTCAATCTTCAACTTCGAAGTCTGCGAGCAATCTGAGCCTTGGCCGGCCTTTGCGGGCGGTCCTTGTGCTCCGCTCGAGTTGGAGCACGAGTCTCTGACGCTCGAAGCACGATCCACTGTAAGGCGAGACGTTCTAAAGGCTCCCGCTGGACATGGCTCGCAGCGTGCCATGGCAGCTGAGGCATTGTCCGCCGAACTTGCGGCTGGGTCTACATTTGTAACTGTCACGCGCAAGACAGCGCTCCTTCCTGCCAAACTGCCTGCCCAGCTCAGCAAGCGCAGATGAGAGTCAATTTGCCGTGGATCTGCAGAAGCCAATGCACAGTGTGTATATCTGTGAAGCAGAGTGGCCACTTTTGCACAGCGTGGCCACTCTGTGCTTCACAGATCTACACACTGTGCATTGGTGTCTGCAGATCCACGGCAAATTGACATCTGCGCTTGCTGGGCTGGGCAGGCAGTTTGGCAGGAAGCAAGCACCTTCTGCATCATGCGCTTTGTCTGGTTCTTGTGGCACCCTTTCCTTGCCACAGGACCCTCTCATGCCACAAGCCGTGGCCTCCTGCCCAGGTCTCTGCGCGTCTCCCCCCAAAGTCTCGGTTTAGCCAGCGGCGGGCAAGCCTCCGGCAGTGGCAGGGAAATCGCGTTCTGCTGCGCAAGCGGCGGAGGCGGCCGCCACATGCCTCGCTGTCAGGTGTCTGCCATCCCCCGGCTAGACCGGCTGGCTCTGACTCGAAGCAAGGCATGGTCTGAAGTACATCTGAGCTGAGCCAGGAATGACGAATCCTACAGTAGCTTGCCCAGCCTCCCACAAAACCTAGACATCATGATGTTGATTTGAGGATCCCATGTGTCATCCATGCTCGTTCCGAACCATACATGATTAATCTTGTTTAGGGTCTGAGACCAAGAAAAGTAAACATGCCCTGCTCTGGGGCTGGGTTGGGGCGACTGACAGCTTCTTACCAGCCAAGCATGGCGGGTCAATCTGCCAAAAGGCGCACTTCCAACAAGTCAGCTGGGCGCCAAACCAAGGTATGGCCTGCGCGGCGAATCTATGACCTGCACAAACGCGCCGCTGTTAAAGCCGTGTGTGATCTGCACTCAGTTGTCGCTCACCTTGAGAAAACCTTTTTTTGATCAACACAAGCCAAGAAAGGCTTTTCGTGCTGGTATTTCCTTTATGTTGCGCTTTGCATGTGTATATATCTGTACTTATTTATGTATACAGTACTCCGAAGCATCGCAAACCAATAAACAGGGCGCAAGGTTGGGGGGCTGCCGTCTCTAACGAAAGCAAACAGGCTCTTGTGCCATGCCAAGGTCGCAAGGCGAGGAGGTTATGTTTTTGCCTGTCCCAAAGCCATGGAACAGGTTCCCGAAGCACGGTTCATAGTGTGGCCGCAAACCAATGTTGGCTTCATGTTGGCGCCCCTGCGAAAAGCTTCAAGGCTTGGGGATGCGCAATTCCAAGAAGCCTGGAACCGGACTTGGCAATGAAACCTTCCAACTTAAGGAGGAAAGGAAATAACTGGGTCCCATCCATTGTTGAAGGGGCTCTACGGGGTATGGATGGTTCTGGTATGGCCCACACTCACACTTCTTGGTTGGTGCGCCCTCCACTCAACGCACACGGGGCCCCCGAACTTTTCGACGCCCCGTATGCGTCACCCTCTAAACTTCTTGTGAACCACGGTCATGCCTCTGCTTGTAAGAATTCTGCAAAAATGGTTCCTACCAGTACAGCCCGGTTGCTGGAAGTTGCAAAATACAAGCACTAGAGTTATCTTGCTGCTTCTCTTTTTTCCCTTTCTGTTTCTGTTTCGTGTTCTCTTTCATGGCTATCTTCCTCGTCTCTTTCTCTGCTTGTCTTTGCCTCTTGCTCTTACTATTCTCTTCCTCCTTACCGAAAAATGCTTCGCTTGCATGACGTCTTCGTTTTCCGCTTTAAAATTCCTTTCCTTGCTATTTATCTTTCTCTTGTTCTATCTCTCCATCCATCCATCCATCCATCCATCCATCCATCCATCCATCCATCCATGCATGCATCCATCCATCCATCCATCCATCCATCCATCCATCCATCCATCCATCCATCCATCCATCCATCCATCTACCTATCCGTCGATCTGTTGATTGATCTGTCTGTGCCCATCAATCTACGTATTTCTCTATGCACTTATCAAGATCTACCTATCTGTCTGTCTGATCCATCTTTCATCCATCCATCTAGCTACCTGGCTATCTAACCAGCGTCTACTCGATCTGTACTTCAATCTCTCGATTGACAGATAGATCTATCTAATCGTTCTATCCACAGGTCTATCTATCTATATCTGCCTATCTAGCTGTACATCTACTTATCTGTCCAGATCTATCTCTCGACCTGTCTTTCAACATTCATTGGTCAACATCATAGACCGTTGTTCCCTTTAAGGAGGCCCTCCAATGGTACGCGACACCATTGTCAAACCAACAAACACCAGCACAACTCCCATGAAATTCCTGTGCTGTTGTACGGCTTGCTGGGTCAACAAAAACGTCATAGATTTGGGCGGGGCGTTGCCAAGTTGACGCAACTTGCCGTAGCTCACGATATGGTTACTTCGAAAATGTCCCTCCAGCACCACGCCAAGGAAATGCGGCGCTCCGTGCAAAACCAGCGCCACTCCAGTGAAAATCGCCAGCGAAATTCCAGTGCCAATCCAGTCAAATTCCAGTGCCACTCCAGCGAAATTCCAGCGCATCTCCAGTGAAACTCAAACGCCACTTAGAGCGCAACGCCCGTGAAAATCAAGGCCAGACAAACAAAACAGAAAGTTCGTCGGGAAAGTCCTGCCACGAAATTGTGCGAAAGCGCCGCGATCTGCAGTTGACCTTGCGGAATCACTTCGCCTGCCACGAAGTCTGTACCTGACGCTACCTGTCACGCAATGAGTCTGCAAAAGCGTTGCGCCCGCCATGCTGTCTGCACAACTGCCGCCCCTGTCATGCCAATGGTCCGGGTCTGCACCGAGGTAGCTTTCAGCCCGCCGGAGACCAAAACCCGCAGAGGGTTATCTTAGAATCTTAGCTTGTTTTCTTCACAGAACTACCTTGAAGGTCCTTCTAAACTTACTTTGAGGATGAGAGATCCATGAACCATCCGTATGGTATGGTGCCGAAACAAAAAGGGTGCATTGATGTGACAGAAGTCAAGGCTGATCAGGCCCTTAGATTCGCATCCTTCGTCAGAGAGATCTGCCCTTCAGGGATGCTCCGAAGAATCTGGTCATGAATCCAATGCCCCCTTCTCAGATGTTCAGTGAATTATGACAATGGTTCTGAGTGGGTTTAGCCCCCAGTTCCTGTACAAAATGGAAACATAACCCACCTACTAAGTGGGTTGCATATCAATCCAAGCGGCTCCGCCTGGATCGTGAGCTTGGGAGCCGTTAGCAGCCAATTTCTCAGAGCCTCTCAGCATGGCTCGGGTGGGATAAGCCTGTCCGGTTCGAACACCCAAGGGAAATCAATAATACGCTTGGACCCTTGCAATAGGCTTGCTCCTGGCTTGGATTTGGAGGAATGCATTGTGAACGGTTCGGAAGCCAACGATGTGGATGTACTTTATCTCAACTTGCTCCAACAAGAGGCTCGCCCCAACCAGAGGAGTTGAAGTTCATTTAGTTTGTTCACAAAAGACAAACTAGGACAAACCGGCTTCGGTGAGCATTGCTTCGTCTCGAAGTTGGTCAATCCAAGCGTCACGAACATGCAACCTGAGGGCAGCTACGTGGTAGAAGTCTGACAGGCTCCACGGGTGGAAATAGGTCGCCCTTTTTGTTTGTTGCAAGAATGACGAGCGAGTTCATGGCATGGGCTGGAATCGTTCAACTGGTTGTTTCTCAAGGGGAATGTAATAAGGGACTCCCCCCAGGCATCCAACAGTTCCATGTGTTTTGCTGAAACACCCATTGAGTGGGACTTTCCCGGATAAACCAACGCCGGGATCGGCCTGTCCCGAAGTCCAGTCAATGGACCAGGCCTCAAGTCGATTCTTAGTCCCCTGAATGGCGACTCCGGGCTGCCTTGGGATGACGAAAACTGGAGCGAAGCACAAAGGGTTCGGCCGGGTTTGAGAGAGATGAGATTCGTTCAAAATCGAACGGAAGATCCTTGGCTGAGCGATGCTAAAGGCCGGAGCCTCTAAAGCTTTGGGATCCCCAAACTTGTAGGGAGGCCATCGAGGAGGTAGCTCTTTGTGAACATGCGCCTGGTGACTGTTGTATTGGAGCATGTAGTCTATCTCCCCTTCTGTTCATGGCTCTTCTTATCTTACGTGGTTCTCAAGCGAACGCGCATGGCCTGGTCATGCTTGAGTGGGGCAGCTCCACGGCTGGAACCCACGTTCATGGCTTGGAAGAGAAACCAAGCGGAAATCGACGAGCAACACCAAGTCTTTGTGAACCTCCGAACTCACGAAGCCTGAAATGCGGGTTCCCTCACAAAGACATCCTCGTGATCATGGAAGAGGTTGAACATCAAACCCTTTGCCAGCTCCCAATGTGATTCGCCCGGACCCAGCAAACCAATAGGGGGCCTTTGAAAACAACGATACCCGGAAAATAGCGCCCGTTGCCGCATTGACTGTCGCTCAGAATTTTGGGACATCAAAAACGGGTCCGTTTCCCGTTTCCGAGCCCCCAAACGGAGGTCCCTCCCCCCCGCAATGGAGGGTACATTGATTCTTGGGCCCGTTAATTAATTCCCACCCAACTGATCACGACCGGCAGATCTCGGTATCTCAGTCACCATGGTAGGACCACCCATGTTGCTTCAAGTGTGGTCTGTCTAACTCGAACTGGAAGTGAGCTCCAAACGGGAAGCTCCACCCTCTGGTCCTCTTCCTTCCCGCCGGGAGAAGACATATCTGGCACCTGCCAGACCCATGGCGGGTGAAGCTCGGCCGCTGTTTTGCTCTTCTATGTTTACTGTTTTGGGGCGGGGGGGGTCCCCTGGGATATCTTTTGGGGGGCGGGTGGGGGGGGTCCCTGGCATATCTCGCGAGGCTTTTGACCTCCCTCTTGACTCCCTACCTTTTGGATCCCCACCGAAAAGTGGGCTCCTCTTCTCTATTGGGCCCCATTTTTTTGGCGGGCGGGGGTAAGTAAGTTTCATTTGTCAGGAGTTGGATGGTTTTTGGAGCTTTCAAAAATGTCCGCGCCCGAGACCTTGCATAGATTCAGTGGTGCGAAACCGGCTCTGTGGATAAGACAATCCTTGTCAGAACCCCACCTCGGGCAAGTAGATAACACTTTGGGAGTAGAAAGGTTGCCTGCAATCTAATCCTTGTAGCACTCAATCACTTTGTGTCTGACTGGAATCAGCGGGAGTGTCAAGACAGGAGCCGGGAACCGTTAATTATCTGGAACTTGGACAGCCTCTGATTGGGATGATTGGGAGGGTGAGTTGGACGCAAAGTTGTGGGGCACATTTGCCAGCCAAACAGTGCGAAAGAACTCCAACACAGCTGGTCAAAACGCCATGCCCTGCCGAAAGGTAAACTGTAAAACTGTTCCCGGTTCGCAAGTTTGCTTGGCTGTCATTGAACCACCGCTTCAAAAGACTGGAGTGCAAATCGAGCAAAAACCAAGTCGTGCCGCCGGGAAACTGTTGCAAAAGCTTCAAGATATCAAGGGTCGAGTCAAGCAGAAACCGATGCGGTTGCTGAACGAGCATCAAGCCCGCCTTGGACAGCCCTGGCACTGAATTGGCCACGACTAGAGCTTTGAAGCCGGCGTTGAAGGCATTGGTCGCCTGCCGGCATTCAACACATCGCATCGCAAGTCCTTCCTGCCACTCCGGCCACAGCAGGAAAGCAACGTCTTCCTAAAAAGGATTCCCTAGTGTTGGTGGCGAAAATTGCATTCACCCCCAACATTGCCTTCCTCAAAACAGCATGAGACTGTTAGACTAGTACTAGAATTGTCAGCTGACATGAGCGGGCTTGCATCGATCATGATCTGTTTACGCCAAGAGGACAAAGGAGGAAGGCTGCTTTGGCCCACACTCTTTCAGCCATATCTGTCACGGGGTACGGTTGTCTCTCCTCATATGGTCTTTCTCTGACAATTCAAACGGAGTGCTCTGGGCAAGTGGCCAATTTTGGACAATATCCATCTCGGTTTCAAACTTAGGTAGGGGAACAAGTAGTCAGGATACTTCACCCCTGCCCCCCGGGGCCTTTTCCCGGAAGCTGCACAAGCCGCGCTCCACGAAGAGGGCAAGGCCCTCCACCTGCGGAACCCGATGTGATCCACTTGCGCATCGACACCCACCTGAGGAGTGGCGGGGAGCTCGCTGCAGCCCAAGCTCCTGCACTACAGCTGCGTTTGGGCTGTCTAACGCACCGTTTTGAACCATGAGGGGCGCCATAAGCGGCTGCGTCCCAACCCCCCCCCCCCACCCAATTGCGTTTTCAGGGGGCCGACAGCAACTCTTACACGAGGTCTGGTTCCCTGCAACAGAAATCAATGACCTACAGCTGACGGCTGCAAGCAACATGCGGTGGCTTCTGGACATACGGGTACATGTCAAAAAATTGCAGGGCTCCAAAAAGTCGCGATTTCCCTTGTGATGTCTCTAGGTGGCACACAACCAGCCTCATGAAGTATTCAACATGCTGCAGCTGCAAACAGACTTAACTGTAGAAGTGAATGGTATCGTGACTAACCACAATGGCGAGAAAATGAACCCATGTTTCAACGAGTCAACGAAAAATCAACATGGCGGTTCACTCAGAGCTTGCCTTCCAAAGTAAGCGAGTCAGAATCCATACCTATAATTCACAAGTCTACCCAAGCCATGGGAAAACAATCAAAAGGGCAGAAACCCACAACTATCAATCGAATGCTCAAGCAATAGCTTCAACATGGTGATTTCATCTCAAGAGCTTGCCCCAACCCCAAGCCTCTGAAGCCTGAAGTGTCCCTCCCCGTCCGTCCTAGTTCCGTTGTAGGCCCCGGGCTCCATCACCATCTGGGGGCCCGAATGGATTGCGGCTCACCCACGACTCGCCCCTTCTAGAGAATGTCCGCAACTAGGAAACGGAACTCATTTTGGGAGGTGTTCGAAGAAACACCTATAGAAAACCAAACGCATTCTGTAGGGTACTCAAGGAACCACTTACTCGTCTTGGCTGCAAACATCCATCTTGCACCCTGCCAGCTCGGGGTATGTAGAGCCAAAGGGGTCCCAGCCCATATTGCAACGCCGGGCTAATTTCATGCAGAAGGGAGAAGACATGCCCCTTTACAAATCATCGTTCCAATTCTCAAAGGAATCCCCCTTGAAATGAATGAATCACCCACTAGGGGTACTCATCTCTCATTAATCTGGACGCAACAAATCTGACGTTGCAAAGTATTTTCCCTACAAGGGCATCCAACAAAGGTCCAATAGGGCCAAGAGCTCCCTGTTGCACATGACGTGCGCACGCGCAGTCCCCGCCCTTCCATTGAAGGAGGGCTGGATGTTGTAAGATTCCCTGGCGGCGAAGGTGACACTCTCTGCGTGCCCACTTGTCAAGCTTACTAACTTTCCAAGTGTATTGGCCCAAACCAGCTCGAATCGCTTACCCCTTACGTGATGTTGCCCAAACAATGTGTTAGCATGTCCGACGCCGGAGAATTGGGAACTGAGTTCAAAACCGTGCCCCAGAAGGCTCAGGAATGCCCACCAGGAGTGATGTCAAAGCGGTTCGAGCCAAGGCATGTCCAAGCGAACCTTTGCAAGGGGTGACCAATTCGTTCCTCCCGAACCAGGCCGACACATCACACCATGGCCACACGTTCAGAATTTCGCGCCCGCCTATCTAGCAGAGCTTTGTTCGACAGCTTTGGCCGGCCAAAGTTCGGCAAGTAGGCATTCCAAACGGCTGGAATCCTCGAGGCGGACTGGAATCCTCTTAAAAACATGTCCCCAAGCGTGAAACCACCAAAGCTCGTGGTGATCTGGGCAAATGGGCCACAAACCACCCTAGGCCACCTGACCCTACCCACCCCAGGCTCCAAACCATGGAAAAAACCATGGAGACGTCAAACGAGATATTGTTTGGCCATGCTCAGACCGTTCCGTTGCTCATTGATCCTCTCATGTGCCACACAGCTTTACCGCTGTGTTTCAGGGCACGTTCATTCCTTATTCTGGAGGCCCATGCTTGCATGACGCCCCTCAATCAGATCGCGCCAGGTTGGCCGATTGAGAATTGTGAGGAGCCGTTGAGTATCAATGTTTGGTCCAGGTTATGGCCCACAAGTTGAGCACCGTGCTGTTGTCATGGACGATTGGGCGCCAGTGAAGGACATTCCTGCAGTCCTTGATGAGTCCTCATGAGGAAATCAAGGGGTTGCCGACTCATCTCAAGCCCTTCAGGTCGGATCCATTTTGAGATGCGGTCATTGCCACAGCAACGCAGGCCTTTGATGATCTTTCATGGTATGGCCTCATAGTGCTCCAAGCGACGCCCCTACATCAGTTTCCTTGTGGTTGCCCTTTCCCAGGTAAACCTTTGATTTTTGGACCAAGCATTCTCTTTGAGACACCGCACGCCAAGTCCCCGGCGCCGAAAAGGACTGGGACACCTCTTCCCCCACGACCTCCAAACTCGTTGAACGGGTGCCCCATGGATGGTTACCAACCCAAGGGTATCCCCAATAAAGGACTCACACAAACACACTCTTGGACTGTTTGACACGATTTCCCACAGAAAATCATGCACCCATGAGTCACGTGCTGCCCTTCAATTTGTCATGTGATAATCCGTTGATCCAATAGATTTCAGCTTGGCAAAGAAAATAATGTTGGTCTTTTTGACCCAGTATTTTGAGACAGAAACCTGCGTATTGTGGGCCTAAGTCTGCAACCTGGATAAGGACCTTTATCGTTGGTGAAATCGGTCTCATATCGAAAATGCCCGGCAGGTCGCGATGTGATTTGCCCAGATATATGCGCATCTATCCCCTCTATAATTTGTTTAACTGAGACACTCTCTCATTTGGAATACGTTGCCCGACGTCACTGAGTTCTGGACGTTCAGTGTCGAATGGCCGTGAGTGCAAAGGCACCACGAGACCTGTACCGCAACCAAATTGAAATCACCAGTTGAAACCACCAGTTCAGAGCCCTGGTTACCGGGAAAAACAGTTTCGGGGTTTGGTTGGGGTGGATTGCTTGCTCCTCTGCTTTTTATTGCAAATCCATCCCACCCTGAGCACTGCAATGGAGCAATTTTGAATCCGAGTCTCCGGCCAAGACGGATGTGAAGAAGCGTGCGCTACTCATGCTACCAATCTTGCTCCTAACGGCAAGCTGCAACCTGTGCTGTTGTGCTGGACGAGCTGCTGCGGGTGGTCCTTCTCGCTGCCAAACAAATTCATATACGACATGTGTATATATGCGTTATTGGTTCCTCGAGCAACACAATGCGGCCGCAGGGCTAGCAATGAGTGCATGGTATGCAGGCTGCGCTCTCCCAACACGGCTATATCAATGCCGAGTTTGAAGTGATGATTCTGCCTTTGAGCCCTGCCTGAGATATTTTAGCGCAAATTCTGCTTGCCGTGGATGCACAGTGAAGTCGTTCAATGCAGCTCTGCCAGGCCTCACCTTTTTTCGTGTCCATCCGGGTCCTGTGATGCAGTCAGGCCTGAACAGCTAGATGCTGGATCTCACTTGCTCTATTTTCACTTCCCTCTCTCTCTGTCTCTCGCCCTCGGAGCCATCGTCAAAGCCTTGTAGCCTAGCCACCACCTGGCGCCTTACGAGAGCCTGCCTCATCCTCCTACTCCTCCCCTCACCCGATCATCCTCATTCTACCAGCAATGATCACCGTCGATAGAGTCAGTGTCATGGTGGGGCTCACGTGTAAGACATCGGAATCAGGGCCCCTAAGGGTGTACCCCAAGGGTGCATCCCTAGTTGAAAGAACCCTCTTTGACTATATGCCAACATGCCATGTAGTTTGGAGCCAATGGGTGTACGCGCATAGACCGGAGTACATGACAATCAAGTGGAGCACCCCTGGGCTTCCAGCGCGCCACCACCTGGCGACACATCTTGCGCTCCTCGGAGCACTCCAAGCCTCAAGACTTGATCCATCTGGGGAGAAATCGAGGCTCATGAGTTTGACATGTTGGGGGCGAACCTTTAGAATTGTCAGACAAACTTCTGTCAGGGCCAGGCGGACTTCTGCGCTAAATGGGCGGTGGCAAACCTACCAATGAAATCTACGCGCAAGTCTGGTTACCCGAAGACTCCCGTCCTAACGGTTTTTCTGAAGGGTCCTTGAGGGGCTGAATTTCTCCCTTGTAAGGTCCTGGGGGGCTTGCATTGGGGTCTGAATCTGGGAAGCAAGGACACCCGATAAAATTATTCCATCTGGACCTTCGGTGTTCAACTTGAACAACTCTGCCTGGCTCAAAGCCAGATTCGGGTGATGACCTGCCTTTTTTGAGGGCGCCCATGTGCGCGGAATATTTGAAAGGGGAAACAACCCAACTGGCGGGACGGGTTGCCCAATCAGAGACATACACACACACACACACACACACACACACACACACACACACACACACACACACACACACACACACACACACACACACACACACACACACACACACACACACACACACACACACACACACACACACACACACACACACACACACATGTACATGCATGCTCAAAACACAAGGATCCCGCGAGATGTTCATGGCAACTTCAAAAAGAGTTTCTCTGCATCGATATGGCAGTGGGTCAAAAATAGGTACCCCAAATGGAACCCTGGTAAATGGAAACATGGACTAAAATCTGCGGTCCCCTGGTGGTTTAATTTTGACCCATGCCCATATCTTCCTGAGCGAAACCGAGACAAAAAGAGCTTGAGCTTGTCTGCCTTCATGGTTCTAGTTATAGGGCCCAACATCAGCAGCGACTGCGACCCAGCAGACTTACAACAAGTCAGCCAAACAAAACCAACGTTGAAACCTTACAACAGATCCAATTTTGGGGCGAGCGGTCTTTCAGCCAAAAAGTCCGGGTTGATCAATCCTGCATCCTGTCCAAAGGCGAAGAAAAAAACGATATCATCTGATGTTTGTGTGATTTCCCATTGAGGCCGTCTGAACCAAAAGGGTTTTGCCCACATGTGTGTGTGAAACTGTGAGGACCCCATTTTTTCACGGTGTCGTTGGTCTGTTGGTTTCCTTTCATCCCACGATGAAAAGGATACCCTCATCTCAGTTACCCCATTATTGATGGTTTGGATTCGTGGCTTGGAGGCAATAAGAGGTGGCTTTCCATGTTTACCCTACAAGAACCACAATCCCACATCCAATCCACCAAGTCAGGTTTACCCGACAACCTCTGGACATTCACTCGGTTTCCCGTTTGGTTTCTCGTCTCCCCTTCAGAGGGAAGCTGCACGTCTGTGGCGCCGGCGAAGGACTTCGGCCCTCAGCCTGGCTGCAGCCAACTCTGCCTCCAGCTGCGCCTGCACGAACGGCTTCCAAGAACGCGGAAAAGGGAAGGGACAAAGTATGGATTTGCCCCCCAAAACAAGCACATGCCAAGCATTTGCCTGCTTGGCCCCGCCTGTTGTGGGGTTAAACGATTAATCAGGGGTCCCCCCGAGAGGGATACAGTAACACTTTAGAAGAAGCCGCGTTCACAATTTCCCTCAGAAAAAGAAATAATCCAAGGGGCCCCCGTCAATGAGTCGCAAACAATCTATGCTGGGTTTGTCACCAGGCAAGCCCTCCAAACTCCGCTCCGGGTTGATGCTTATCTTTCTTCAGACTCGCCGCCCGTTTCAAAGGGGGGTCTTGTTAAAGTGTAGTGTACCGCTCCAATGCAAGACGTCCCTTCATGCTCCACCAAGAGGGGACAAAAAGGCTGCCTCAAGTCGCAAGTACAAAGTCCTGCAGGGCAGGCACTGTCCTCGCAGCCCGCCAAAGCCACGACATGTCTAAGTCAAAGGGTACCGTGGCCAAATGTCCAACCACGGGCATGATAATTTCGATGCCTGAGCCGCTCTTCTCGACCCCGGCAACACACATCTGAAACTCATAAACTTCTTAGCCACGCCTAAAAGAACACTTAAACCAGCCGGCTTTTTTCAAAAAGCACGCTCCTGGCCGGTGCCAGGTCCCCAAACCTCGCCATCCTCGAGCTCTCGCACCTCCTCTCTGGCTCCTAACCAAAGAAAGAAAAGGCTCCCCTGAGTAGCTTGGAGTCCGGAGTACTAAACCCCCTGGTTGATTCATCGGGGTCCTTTTTTAGGGTAACGGTGAGGGTGGGTCTTGGGGTGGTTTGGGGTTGATTCAGGCGAAGCGAAGGGCTGACATGCAGGCTGCTGTTGAGCGGGTTTAGGGTGACTTTGAGTGGGATTTGCGCTAGGTGTGCTGCTGGTTTTGCAGCGGCTTTAGTGTTGCTTTAGGGTGTGGTTAAGTGAGTTGTGGGCGAGTTTTGGTGGTTTGGGGCAACGCTCTAAAATTGATTCTAAAGTGGAAGTGGACATGAGGTTTTTGGAAGACTGGAGTATCCTCTTGTCTACATCCAATTTGAACAGAGGCTAGTCACCTTCCCGCTTTGGAAACGCGGACTCGTATCTGAGACCCAGGCGCTCAGTGGCTCGCAGGCGCTCGGCTTCCAAGGAGCTCCTAGAGAACCGGGCTCGTTGAAACGCGATGCTTGGGACTGAAAGCAACTCGGGGAATGAGTTGGAATGACCCCGAGAAACAGCATCCCCGAGTTGGTGTCCGCCGTTTTTTTTTGTTTTTTTTTTTGTTCACACTACTAAGGTGATACCAAGGTGATACATTTAAGGTAAGGTAATCAACAAAGGACACATTTCGCATCTCGCATGTTGCTGCCACTCCAAAAAGACATTGTGGACCTAAGACGCTCTCATGGCAAGGGAGTAAGCCTTGAAGCGCCTTGGAGCCATGCTACATACCATATTTGTCCAAAGGACCTAGAAAGGAAGCGTTGACCTTTTGGGGCCTGACTGAAAATGCACCAAGCAAGGGACACAACAAAATCAAACGGTCGGATCTGCACAAAAGGACTACTGGTGGAGTTGCTAGTATCCCACATTTAACTGCCAGTGGTTGTGAGGCTGTCACGGGTCATCTTGCAGCCGAGCAATCAACCTGAATGTCCACGAGGGATTACTACGGGCTGACTTGTGATTCCCCTTTTTGAGCAGCACTCCGTCTAGAGAAAGGTCAAGTAAGACTAGCCCAAAAGGGAATATAGAAAATCCCTTTCACAGTGATATATAGAACCTGTCCAAAGCCATTCTAGATTCATCGAACATGGTCTTCAATGTTTGATACACTTCAGGATGACCCCTCTGATGCCCGCAGTCAAACTGCCTTGGTTGAGCTTTCCAAAACCGGGTACGATAAGTTCCACATGAAGGCCCTAATTTGCCAGGTGCTTGGTCCTGTGCCCGAATTCTTGGCTAGAATCAAGTTTTCTGAACAAGAACAACATCAACTTTTCCCGGTAGTGATAAATGTCCTTTGACACCAACAGGGGGGAAAGACAAGCAGAAAGTTGAGCAAGCGGCTGAGAGCTGTTCTCTTAGTGCCCGGCGACATACTGTGAAGTCTCGCCACTTCGCCTTCCGCATCCTCGCAAAGCATGGAGTACAGCCCGGGAGGCGGCAAGCAAATCAAGCACCTCGTTGTACGTGTGCAAACCACTTCCTTCTGCTGCCTCACCGAAAATCAGTCGAGTGAATGATTTATGTTTTGGCTCATGTTCTCAAAAGTAGATTTGTTGGAGGAACATTTATTGAGAGTTTCACTTCAACGAATCCCTGGGCAAGGGACGCCCTTTAATCGGCTTTTGGTGGTCAACACATTTCAGTTGGCATGTGTTTTCGGAACCCAATGAAAACCCCAAATAATTCATCCCATCATTGTGGCTTCTTTCAGGAATGATTACAACATCTCGGCTTGCCTCCAAATGGCTGTGGCTCAAATGTGCCAACATGGTACCTTGGTAAATGGAACCAAGGACAAACACCTGCGTAACCCTAGCTCTGTGATTAATAGGGGTAACCCCCCGAACTGGTTCCCCTTCAAAGCATTCCGCAAAGAGCACCTGCAAAACAGACCCGGCCGTGTGAATTTGGAAATATATGTTGGTGATTCGTCCATCAACATGTCGAGCGGATGCCCAACAAACAAGGGTATGGCTTTCCGTTTGGTGGTTTTCCGTTTGGTTCCCCTAACAGCACCGAAACAAGGCGTACCCTACAAAAGACACACCCATAAAAAACAATGCATAGCCGCGGGTCATTTTTCCGCCCGCCACGCCCGGCCTGTAACGAGGCGCGCAGCTGTTGGATCTCTCGGTCCAGGGCGGATCTTTGCGCCTCTGTGCTCGGCGTTGGCACGGGTGGTTACCTCGTTTCCAGGAACAAAATGGGACCGCACTCGCTCGCAGAAAAATGACCTATCTTATTTGTGGAACAAATCATGAGCTCCACTGTGTTACTGTTTGTCGTACCCCCGAACACAAGTCTTAGGTCCTGTGTGCACAAGAGGCCGTGCTCCCCAAGGTTATCTGCACTCACACAAAATGGCTCTGGAACAGCCCAAAAAATGGATATGTTAGCGCTGGCCTATGTGTTGTCGATGCTGCAGGCGTGTGTTTGAAGCGAGCCGCTCAACCGCGAACATCTACCATGTGAATGACACCTGGGCCACACCTGGGACAAATCGAAGCAGTATCTGCAAATACCACAAAGCAATTTCTTGTTAGCTAGGATTTTGGTGATGTCAAAACAAACACACGTTAAAGCTCAAAGAGGACTGTAGTAAGAGATGTCCCTGTTCCGATGGAAACTTTTTTGGGCTGTGTGTACAACAAAACCGACGGAGAGCCACCCATCTTTTGGGGGTGTGTCAGTGCCTCGTTGGCTGCGGTCCGTCGTGTTGACCTCTCTCCGGCCTGAGGGGAGCAGCCCCGCAAATCTTGGGCAACCCTCGATGGGTTCCACAAATGGGCTCCTCTTGGGTGCGACGCACATAATTGTGCTTGGGATCAAGCGATCGAACCTCGTTTACTGGAAGCTTTTCCGGGACAACTTCTGCAAAAGAGAGCCCTCCCTAGTCTTCAATCCAAGCAGGCGTGTTCAAACATCTTCTCGCACAGCAAGTGTTCTGTTGGTTGTGCAACCTGCAGGTGTCGTGTTTGGTATTTCGTGGTTTGCGTGCTTTACTAAGCATCTACTGTCTTTCATTCATACGCGCTTGCCGGCCTCTCGAGCATCCATACAAATCGCTCGCCACGCAGCTACCTGCAGTCAGAGCAGGGCTTCGTCTCCTGACATCTATATTATAGCAATTCACGTGCGGCCAACTCATTTAGAAACCTGACAGCCACAGGTATGGGTGCTTGCCCCACAAACCTTGTCAATCCTTGTCCTAGTTGCCAACAAGAGCTATGCTTCGCAAACACTGGAGACCAAAAGCTGCGCGTCTCAGCTCCATTTTGCCCGCCTCTCCCTGCCATTGCACTTTCGAAGTACTGCGGCTGCATCTCAGCTCCTGCGGGACTCCAACCGTCGCCTTTGGCACCGTTTGTTCGGGTCTCGCGAGGTCGCGAAGAACCCACGTCGCCCAAAAGCCATATTTTCGGGACCAGGGTGACGAAACCCCATTTCCGATGTCAGTTGCATCCCCTTTATAATGCAGTCGATGGTGAAGTTGCTGCAGTCCCGTTTGTGGCAAAGTTGACAAAGAGGAATGAGAAGAGACCATCTGGGCAACTGGGAGGCCCTTCCCCTTGGTTCCATGGCTTTCTGTTTGTGTCCAAAAAAAAGAACGCGTCGAAACGGTCGCACCTGCAGTCGATCCTGGATCTCGTAAAGGTGCCTCCGATCCGATGGATTCGACCCTCATAGGTTGGGACCAGGAGCCTCGAAATAACACTTGCTTGAGGAAAGCCTGGGCATGCAAGGATTCTCCAAGCAGCCGGATCCTTTGGTTGTAAACCTTTTGAATATAGTAGCTACGTTTTGTAGGTGTCTTTTTGTATGGCGTGTTGCAGCCAAAAGGGGTCGGAAATGCTCAGATCCACTGAGAGCCAGACTGAAGAGTGACATCATTCACTGAGCCATCCCCTGGCACGCACTCCACTCCTATGGCTTGAAACGGGTCCCAATATGTCCCCTTTGGGATGGTGACAGCGTTGGGTCAGCTTAAGCTGATCCTTTGGGTGATGTTTAAAAGGGAAAATACCAGGAACCCAGGTCAAAAGACCCCTTGAAACCTTGTCCACGGGGACACGGCCCCATCAAACGGAAGCAGGCACTTCTTTGCTTCATAAACTCCAAGTAGGGCATTTTTAACATTCAGGTTTGCAAGTTGCTTCTCGTGCTAAGAGAAACAGGCCTCATTCTCCACCACTCCAGCACTTCTGCAGTTCAACGTGTGATGTTTGCTGCTCTGAGTAAAACCCCAGTTTCACGAAGATGAGTCTGGGTGGCTCACCCTGGCATGTAGCATGTGTGGCCGACCTTCCAAATAAGTTCCACTGGCGACAGCGGCGTTACATACAGAACAGGATATCGATGTTTTGTTTTCGCAATGACTGTTGCTGCACAAACAGTCATGCACATTGCAACAACTTGATAGGCTCATGCAGCATGACTTGGCGAACCCCCGCCTGGCATGCATGCGCTTCTCGGTCTGTGGTCGCGTGCGTGCGCTGTCTTAATCGACAGCTGCTGTTGGAAGGTTCACTTCATCAAGTCGTGCCTTGGATGTATGCAAAACTATGATCCTCCTGGTGTCTGCTTTGCATGCTGCTTCATAACCGTCTTGTTTGCACCACTGTCGAGGGATTGAATTCAGCTGCCGGGCCAATCAAATCCGCACAGGCGAATCATTGCCAGGCACTCTTCGAATGTCAACCGTCTAGCCCTGGCTCAAAACCCCTTTCTGTGCTGCGAGGGGGAGCCAGCGTTGGGTAACCCGCGCAGCCCAAGCTGCCAGGCACACAAAGCTTTCCACGCAAAGCATGCATATCCCAGGCCAAAACGGCACCGGACCTACAGACTACGGCTACACAGGCAGTCACCCTTAAAGTCCAGGATGCTCGAGGTCCTGAGCCACCCGAACTGACTGTCGACATGGAATCCGTGTCACTGACTGATGTAACCTTGGATTTCTGTTTTTTCACCACTCCAGCGCCTAGCAATTAGAGTTTTACTGTATCTCTTTGTTTTTTGGTCCAGGTCCTGGGGTTCAGTGATTCTCACAACTTTTGGACCTGGATCTCGAATCCGTGAATCTGCTGTACTCCGCGTCCTTCGGAACTCCTTCCAACGGCTCCAAGTCAAGTTTCTTCGCCAAGTTGATCCTGCAAGGCAAACGTTGGCACGAGGCTTGTCTTTGTGGTGACGTCACCGTGTTTCACCCTGAGACCGGCAAACAGGGGCCCCGTGGCTTAGGAACACAGTCATGCCTATCATCTGATTTGATAGCATCTGGCCAGGCCGTCCTTGCTGGTTTGCCTGTGGGCCCTTTCGGTATGCTCGGCATGGTCACCTTAGCAGCAAGCAGCAAACATGATGACTGAACACTTCTACAACAAGAAGAGCTACCCTCCCAATGTAACACGTGGTCTGGTGCACAACCGCTTTGGAAGACGGCTTTTCTTTCTTGAATGAGGGCCTGCGCACCTGTCTCCAGTGGTGGAGGATACTTTTGTCCGCAAAGTCCAGCTGCATTTTCTACAATAACCAGGGGATCAAACCCCCAAACCGCCCATTAAGAGTTTCCTGAGATCAAAGTCTCAGGTGCCGCTGATGCGAAGCAAGACAGGAGACCGCGCCATGAGGGCCTTTGGCTTTCAGCCCCCACAAGGATTTGAAAGCATGCTACAAATAACCCATGGACATCTAAAACAAACCGAAAGAGCAAAATGCCTGTGCGCACACATGTGTTTTATATATACAAATGATTACAGATGTATTTAGTACTAAACCAGCCCTGTTCTCCAAGCCCCACGCAAGCATCTCCGGGATCCATTTGGCCTGCAGCTTGTCGCCTTGGCGATGAGCCCCCACAAGGTCGTTGTTGTTTTTCCCCCTTCGCGAAAGACCAGCTCAAATATGGGTGTGCCTTTTTTGAGGGTATCACTTTGGTGGTTTGTCCAACATGTGGCTGCTCTCCAACAGCTTCCTCTACACGTCTTCAAAGATGCCTCCAACCTGCCGGCTTCCTGGAAGGCGCGGAAGACGCAAAAGGAACTCAGTGTGCGGCATTTGTTGCACCAACTCCTCAGCTCCTTGATGGTCAACCTAGGCGCCAAAGTTTCAAGGCAAGGATGCAGGTACCGTGCCCGGTTAGCAACAAAGGCATCAAGGCAACGAGAATTGATACTTTGAGATGAATAAGACTGGATGGCCTTGTTTCAGTTGGCTCATGCTGAAACACTGCGCGAAGAAGCTGCAGCTGGATCCAGTGCGTGGCCGTTCTTGCAGGGGAACTGGTCCCACTGGTCAGCTAGCTTCCAAATACGCTGAATGGGAATGCGGCCAATGTGTAAAAAGTGCCATGGGTATCTTTGAGACACATCCTGGTGGGGACATCCTAAAACGCATGGGTCGTTTCGTTAGCAAACAAGTGCAATTGTGCTGGCTCTCAGAATCCTGGATGAGGCCAGTTCGAGCTTCCCATCACTATCAGATTTGGAGCGTCTCAATATGTTGCCCGACTTGTCTGGAGGAGGTAAGCTGGTAAGTCTGGTAAACTACTCCTATTCTGCGGCCACAACTCCCTCAACAGGATCCTGAACCAATTTTCGTTGCGTGACCTTATGCCAAATGTATGCAGGCTGAGCACATGCTCTATGTGCCCTGAGATCCATGCGACTTGCCGTCCTTCAAGACGCCCGCAATGCCTGCGCAAAGCTACGATCACTCAGCAGGTGTGCCAATCGTGAGGGGCTGTCCTTACGGTCATTTGATGCTCCCACATTCCCTGTTCTGCATTCAATGATGATAACCGTCTGGCACAAGAAGGATGAAGGCTGGGGCCTGGACAACCCAGTCATGTGTTCACCATTCACACGGAGGACACACCGCATTTCAATGGAAAGCCTTTCCCTCGTGAACAACAGCTGAAGTGGAATCTAATTCAATGCCGGTGGATGCCAATGCCTGCATGTCAATGTGGTGTTATCTCCAAAAGGTGAGGAGAGAATCACTTTGCTTGACATGCAGATTCGATTCGCATCCATGGCGCGAGTCGAAACAAGCGTGTAAAACGGGTTTGGGCCCCGGACGGTTTCAACGGGAACTCACACACACACACACATGCAAACTATCGTATCAACGGCCTGCAGAGGTCCAATTTTCATGTTGCTCGCCTACCACCTCGCCCAGGGACTTGTGCGGGACAGCGAAGGCGATGCAGTCCTTCAACCTCGAAAGGGGGTCCCAGTTGCAAGTGGCCCGAAGGTAGAAGGGTGTCCCTTGCTTGAAGAAGGGAGGCCTCTTATTTGTTTTGGGGGGTCTTCGTAGAAAGAATGGAAACTCTGTGTGTTTCGGGCCTAAAGAAATGTGTGGTGGATCAAGAGCTCACGAGCATCCAGGGTGCATCCTGTTTGGTCTCACCATTCATGCTGGCTGGTGGTCGATTCACGTCACCAGTGATCAGAAGGGGAAAGGGCCTGCATGCACGCCCCAAGTGTCTGGCGCATCGTTCCCTCGCATGGCATCCTCCACCTCCACAGGCAATGGCCCTGCTTTAGAAAAGGGAACTCTTAATGGCCGACCTTGGTTTGGGTGAGAAGGGGAATCCCTTTTCTATTCGAGCTGACCTTTTTTGGTGGGACATTGGCACTGTGTTGGGCCTGACCTTTGAGGGGAAGCCAGGAAGAAGGGTGCCACTTGAGCGGTTGCGACGTCTGTTCTCTAGGCTTCCCCGGGTTGACCCCCCCGCCTTCAGGGGGGTTGCCTGTTTTGGCAGATGGACGAAATTGAGTTGGTAGCCCCCAAAGGGATGGGCTTAACAAGGGGATGCCAGGCACGGTGCTCCGTGAATTCTCAATCATTTGGAAGGGTCCCAACTCATATTTCACCACAAAGGGCTGAAAAGGAGGATTTGTTGCCTCTTTGGCGTGCCTGGACTGAGGATTCCTGTCCATCAACCAAGGCACATTGCAAAAGTGCTGTTTGCGGCTGGACATGCAAAGCCAGGACGCACAATAGGCAAGCCCAATTTGCTCAAGCAAGACTCGAAAAGCCACAGAAAACTCTCAAATGGAACACTGGGAAGTTTGGCGCTCAAGCCGAGGTGCTGTGCCCTGGCAACCAACCGAGCTACGCAACCAGCACCTTCCACCCCTCAAAAGGCCCTACACGGCTCTGCCTAAACGTCCTGGCCAAGGAACATAGCAAATGCCACCGAGAACACGACGTGCCATGTGGCAACACACGACATGACATGACATGACATGACTTTGGCTGGCTGATTGGGTGGATGGCTGGCAGACCAACAAGCAGGAAGGTCTGGTTGGTTGGTTGGTTGCTTTCTTGCTTGCGTGCTCGGTTCCTTGATACTTGCTTGCCTGTCTCCCTCCTTGCTTGGTTCCTTGACCTGCTTTCTCAATTGCTTGGTGAATTGCTTGCTTGGTTCCTTGGTCGCTGGTCTTGCTTCCTCTGCTTTCTTGCCCTGCTTTCTTGCTTGCCCTGCTTTCTTTTTTGCTCGCTGCTTGCTTGCCTGCCTGCCTCCTTAATTCCGTCTTTGCTTGCTTTGCTTGCTGTGCTTGCCCTACTTTCTCAATTGCTTGCGTGATTGCTAGATTGCTTGCCTGCTTGCCTGCCTGCCTGCCTGCCTGCCTGCCTGCCTGCCTGCCTTTTTCCTTTTTACTGTTCTTCCTTACTTCCTGCTTGCCTTGCTTTCTCAATTGTATCCTTGATTGCTTGATTGCTTGCCCTGCTTGCCCTGCTTGCCCTGCTTGCCCTGCTTGCCATGCTTGCCCTGCTTGCCCTGCTTGCCCTGCTTGCCCTGCTTGCCGTGCTTGCCCTGCTTGCCCTGCTTTCTTGCCTTTCTTGCCTCCTTCCTTCCGTCCTTGCTTGCCCTGCTTTCTCGCTTGCTTGCTTCAGTATTTGGTTCATGTCGGTGGTTGGCTGGTGGGTGGGTTGGATTGTTTGCCAGCTTGGATGAAAGGCCTTCCCTCCGCGGGCAACGCCTCGAAGGGCGAGATCTTCTCGCCAGCTCGATTGATGATTTCCTGCGCTTCAACGTGACAACATAATGAATTGGTTTGCACTTATGGAGATTCACTCACCCATTGACGTGGAACCTGACTGGAGCCGCCAGGAAAATAATTTGTCCTAAAATTTGCCTTCTGGCGGATTCCATAGTTGGTGGAAGGGCAAGTCTGCAAGGTTTTGTCACACCGAATTTCAATGCAGTTGCTGGCGATGATTAAAAGGGGGTGAGCAAACCAACCCGGCGCCATGCCCCTATGAACACCCCCCATCTTTCTGAGTCTAGTCTGAGAAGAGTGTTTGGGTAACATGGGTCCCAAGGATCGGCCCCTTTGGGATTATGTTTGGATCATCTGGTTAGACTTGAAACATTCATGAGTCCGAACAAATGCGCATGTCTGAACACAACTTATCCATAAGTAAGGAACCTTCATCATGGGAAGGCTCCTTTCAACCAAAGCTCGCCCCAATTCGTGCAAGTGAATTCTCATCCGGAGGGACCAATGCAATGAACCCAAGCCGAGTCAGGGGCCCTGCGAATCGGCAAAGTCGAGCCTTGAAGCGACCACAAAGGTACATGAAGCCGTCTGAATCGATCCAGCCCTTGTCCCCTGTCCTGGCGCAAACTGGCACTTGGGATACTTGGGTGTGGTTCCGTTTTTGGGAGTTGGTAACCCTTTGATGTGATTTTAAAGGAAAACCGAAAGGAACACCACCCCATTTGGGGAAGGGTCCCTCAAAAAAAGACACCCCCAATTGGCGTTGGGAGGCAACTTGGCTTAAACAACTTGAAGGGAACTCGCGCTACAAAAAAGCCTTTGTTCAAAGGTGCTCCACTGGACACATCGCGATCCAAGGAGAATCGAACCTTGGCTACAAGCTCACCCTCAAATCTCGATCAAGCACAATGCAAGTGAGGCACACTATGCCCTGGTGGCAAAGCAACGCGTTCCACAATCGGTTTCAGTAGGTCCAAGTCCTAGTTGCCAGAAGGGGCGATTGGACAGTGCCAATTCAATTCAACCGAGGTTTCCAATCCGGAGAGGAAGTAAGGCCGGACCCCAAGACAAGCGCTCGCACAGACTTGGTTTTCGATGGTGTTCGTGGTAGTTGGCTTGTTTCCTGGAACAGGAATAGTGATGAGAACACATGAATAGTGATATGAGCCCGTGATTTGGTCTTACATCCAAAACCGAGGCCCTTCTTCTGATCGATTCAGCAGTTTATCCTCAGCCAGCCATCGCCGAAGGCTTCGACGTTGGGATTCGCATCCATGTGCTCTCGGAACTCGTATCCTCAGCCAACCCTCGCTCGATCAACGGAATCCCTTCCCACGCTTCTGCTCGTGTGGCTGTCTCTAAATAGGGAAACACGTGATCACGTTGTCGTGTTTGGAGACATGTGCACTTCAAAGGTTAAGTGCCACACTTCCAGATTATCTGCAAGCAAGGGGTCGGACAAATGGGCCCCAAGCCGTGCTTTTGAGCAAATGCATTCCGTCTGCAATCTTGGTCATGTGTCATCGAAGTTGACAGGCATGTCAAACACATGAGCTTCTGGTGAGCCTTAGCCGCACTAAGCGACACAAAGAATCATCCGCATCCTAGGTCTCCAGAAAGCACCAAACACCAAGCCATCCTTCAGATTGCCCCGCCATGTCAGCTCATGAGTTTTGTTCTTGACCATCTTACCAGGCCCCGCATTGAAGAGATCGAAGAGTCGGCAGTCTCAAACGATTCCTTCAAGGCTGCAGCCGCTGGTGACAGGGCCCTTCTTCACCACGACCTGCGCCAGCGAATCAAAGGGCCACAGATCCAAACGTCAGAAAACAACAAGCTCGGTGATGATCTGCAAAACGACTGTGAGTCAAAACCCATCTGTTTGACTCGGTTTGAAACCAGCCGTCTGCACCCACTGTTGGCCCAAACCAAAACTGTAAAGCAAGTCCAAAGAGCACTTCCATGGGGTCGATTCCCAAGTGGGACCCCATTGAAAGACTCGCTGGCTTTAACCCTGGTCGAATCATGGTCGAACCATATTCCCAAAATGAGTCCCTTCACCAAAGCGATGTCACACTGGACGAATCAACCAACCAAACAAGCGACTACCTGAGCAAACGAAGAAACGTCCAGCGGTTTCGCCTGTTGTGATTCTGCAAGCTCTGGGCCCAGCTGAACCATCCAACATTGTTTAAAGGCCGGCTACTTGTTGGCAAATTCCAGGATAAGTTTATTTGTAGTGTCTTCAGGAACCCTTTTTGACTGGCGTTGAAGGGAAGCCGACATGAACCCAGGCATTCTTAGAGTCCCCGAAATGCGAGACGGCCGATTCAATGAAGCCAGAACAGCCTTGCAAGCATCCCCGCCTCGCCCTCCTCACCAACCGGGAGGAAAGAACAGTCCTGAGCATTGGACTCTCATCGCAGGGGGTCTGGATGTCCATTGGAAATGCTTGAATCTCAAAAAGGCCAAAAATTGGAAGGTCCGACATTCTTACATAGGCTTAAGCCTCTCCAAACAAACAAGAATACGTTGAAACCCAATGGTCGACCCCCTTTAAAACCTGCTCCCCAAAGAAGGTGCCGCCTTCTATTGAAAGTCTGCCAGCGGAACATCCAAAGGACTAGGGTCGGTTTCTTGCTACTAGGGTGACCCAGGCTGTGCCCTGAAATTGTTTGTGTTCTTCGCGTGAAGCAAACAAAAAACCAGAATTGTTCCAGGCGGCGGGGGGTTAGCCGGGCAGAATAGAGCAGTTTCTCTTCATGAAGGCGGGGATTTCAAAGCGATGTGAACCTTTGGACAGGCCATCACTATCTCCGCTTCTCAGCACAGGGGTAGGACATGAGCCCCCCTACCTGAAAATGGGGTGACTCCTCCTACAAAATGGCTGAGTTCCCCTCTAACGCCATTCCCTCAGGGTCCTCTTCCCCATCAAAATTGACAAATGGCCCGCCGCAGGCAACGCCCCAACTTGGGTGCCGAGGATTTGGGCTCCCGCGGGGTGGCCGTTCATGATACGCATGTCAGGTCCTGCCTGCGCGAGCTCAGCGAGGCGGGAAGCATGTCGCAAAATTCCAGCTCTACGTCCCCCATGCTTTCTACTAATCATTGCTAATCTAGGGATCGTTGCGGACAATTGACAAACAGAAAAACGCATCTGGGTGGTTTGCCAAAGTTCGGAGAAGCATGGCCTGGGGACTGGGGAGCCACCCCTGCTTGACAGGTTTGACAGGGAGTGAAAAACGAGACCAAGCTGAAGAGGTGGGGTACCTCATTTTGAGACACATCCACAATGCACGTGTGACGGATTGACGAATCTCAAGATGTTTGGGGGAACCCCCCTCTTATGAAGACGAACCACGATGCCCATGTTTAGAAGGGGGGTCTAAGTAGCTTCCTCCGTCCTTTGCGAAGCTACAATATTGTGTCAAACCAGAGTGTTGAATTCGCCGACAACAGGCGGCGTGTTGGGCATAAGAAATGCTCCTCCTTACCTCTTTACCTGTTACCCCTCCCCTTACCCCTCCCCAGGGGCGCAGTTTCAGACTATTGCGGGGGGGGGCGTGCACTATTGCGGGGGGGGGGGGCGGGATTCCAAGGCGTTCCACTGCATCCTTTCTTCTGAAAGCTGTGCGACATTGGGGTGTTCGATTCCCCCCGGGTCCGTTTTGCACCTCCTGGGCAACATCACCAGCACCACCTGCATCATCCGCATCATCCGCATCAGCGCCTGCCAAGGATGCGGATGATGCAAGTGATGCTGGGGATGTTGCCCATGCTGGTGAAGGAACATCTGGAAATGACATGAAGTGAAATGAAAGAAAGGGAACAAAAACAGGCATAATGGGACGAAAACCGAAGAAGGAAAGTGTTAAAAAAATATTCGTGGGAAAGGGGGGGGGGGAAAGATTTTAGGGGGGAACTGGGGAGAAGATCGGGGGAGGGGGGGGGGGGGGGTAAAGGGAGAGATCTTGGGGGACAAAGGCCTCAGGGGAGAAAGGGGAAAAGGATCTCAACCGGGAAAGGGGGAAAGAAGATCTCAGCATGGGAAGGCCTTAGGGGGAAAGCGGGGAAAGGATCTGAACAGGGAAAGGGGGGGAAAGATCTAGGGAGGAAAGGGAGAAGACCTCAGGGGGGAAAGGGGGAAAGGATCTCAAGCCGGGGAAAAGATCTTGGGGAGGAAAAGGGACAAAAAAAAGGGGGGGAAAAGCCTTAGGGGGGAAACGAAAGAAGATCTTGGGCGGAAAAGGCATTAGGGGGGAAAGGGGGGCAAAGGATCTCAACAGGGAACAGGGGGAAAAGATCTTAGGAAGGAAAAAGGAGAAGATCTGGGGGAAAAGGTTTTAAGGGGGAAAGGTGAGAAATGAAATCAACAGGGAAAGGGGTGGAAAAGATCTTAGGGAGGAAAAGGGAGAAGACCTCAGGGGGGAAACCTTAGGGGCAAAAGGGGAAAGGGGGGGAGGGAGGAAAGGGAGAAGATCTGGGGGAAAAGGTTTTAAGGGGGAAAGGGAAGAAATGATCTCAACAGGGAAAGGGATGGAAAAGATCTTAGGGAGGAAAGGGAGAAGATCTGGGAAAAAAAGGCCAACAGGGAAAGGGGGGGAAAAGATCTTAGGGGGGAAAAGGGGGAAGATCTGGAAAGGCCTTTGGGGGAAGGGGGGAAAGGATCTTAGGGAGGAAAAGGGGGAAGACCTCAGCGGGGGGAAAGGCCTTAGGGGGGAAAGGGGGGAAAGGATCTGAACTGGGAATGGGGGGAAAGGGAGAAGATCTGGGGAAAAATGCCTTACAAGGGAAAGGGGGAAAAGATCTTTGGGAGGAAAAGGGAAATCTTTCTCGGGGGGAAAAGGCCCCAGCAGGGAAGGGGGAAAGGATCTCAAACGGGAAAGGGGGGAAAACATCTTGGAGAAGATCTGAAAAGGCCTTGAGGGGGGGAAAGATCTTAGGGAGGAGAAAGGAGAAGATCTTGGGGGGAAAAGGCCTTTGCCGGGAAACGCGGGAAAGGAAAGGGGGGAAAAGATTGTAGGGAGGAAAAGGGAGAAGATCTCAGGGTGGGAAAGGGCCCAAGGCTGGAAAGGATCTCAATGGGGAAATGTGGGAAAAGATGTTCAGGAGGAAAAGGGAGAAGATCTCAGGGGGGAAAAGGCCTTAGGGGGGGAAAAGAGGAAAACATCGAGTGGAAAGGGAAAGGGGGGGAAAAGGCCTTAGGGGGTCTCAAAAGGGAAAGGGGAGCAAAGATCTTAGAAAGGACGGGGGGCGAAGGGACAATTTGAAAGGGAAGCAGGCCTGCATGTCGGCGGCCTGAGCCGGAGGCGTTAAAAAACATATATATATATATACTCATCTGTGAAACAACATAGCACCCAAGGACCCAGGTGTTGGTGCCTTTTGCTAAATCTAGACTATGTTAATCCTGGAGTCCCCAAGCCTCATAATCTTGGGCTAGCAAGGCCTCATCGTTTGAAGCCTGGAGTCCTCCGAAACATCCAATTGTGATGCCCCGCCCACATTATTTGGACAGTTGAGTAGTAAGGATATTGCACAAACAATGTCGCTTGGTGACGCATCGGGCCGTGCTTCTCATCTATCCAGTCGCTCAATCCCTTCACGCTGGCGTCTCTGGGCATGGCTGCCGCCTGCCAAATCACGCTCTCCCGCGGATTCGGATGTGCGCCACTGCGAACTGAGGCCGCTACATTCTCAGCGTTCGCCAGGAGCAGCCCACTCACCATTTCATAGTCCGGCTTGCCATCCTGACTACGCTCTGTTCTGCATTATATACGTGACATAGCACCTGCTGCAAACCTGTCTAACCTATACTGCCTGCGCGCTGAAAAACATAATCTGAAGCAAGACTGTGTACTTACTGCAAGCCCATACAAACAATACACCCTGCGCGCGCCGATATGTTACGCCTCTTCCTTTCAGCCACCTTCCTTTGGAGCCTTCCGTACGTCCTCATACGTCGTCGACCTACCAGCTGAATCAAGCGCTCTGCGTCCTAATCCATGCACTGTGCGTCCTAACTAAATGCAACTGAGGTTGCCGCATTGTCCCGACCAAATAGCTGGCCCATATCTGCACAAACATCTCCTAGTCCCTGAATGCCGCAGCCGCCGCTGTTTGCCTGCAATCAGGCGCACGCCCTCCCTCGGCTCCGTGCGCGACGAAACAACGGCTTGGGTCCGGGCCAGCGCTGCTTCGTGATTCCAGTGACGTACACGCACCGCACTCCAAAACGTCGCGGCATCATCATTCTCATCACGAGCCTTACCGACACGCGCTTTCTCGGTGCTGCTAGTGTGTGTGGTGCATGTCGTCGTCTCTCGTATGCGTGGGATGAGGTTAGGAACACTGATACGTTTATGTATAACATGACATGGGCTTGCGACTCGCGCTGGCTGCTTGCTGCTTGCTGCACATTGCAACAGATTCATTCGTAGCCGGCTGGGGATTAGATATCTCTTATAAGTCATTATAAGAATTAGCAGCGGGTTTAGAAGGGATAGAAAATCTGGTTTAGGAGGTGGTTTAGGTAAGGGTTTAGCTAAAGTTTAGCTAGACCAGCTTAACCTGTTAAGGTTTTGTCTTTCAAACTACAGCGCCTGTGTGCAACTTGTGCAACAATGCGTTTTCCTACCGCAAGCCAGACATCAAGCAAAGCCGCAGCGGGCAGTCCGCGCGGCCCCAAAGACGCAGCTCATCTTTTTTCTCCTTCCCGTTTAGCGGTTCCACAGCTCGGATCAGAGCGCCCATCTGTTTTGACATTGTTTGTTAGATTCATATTTAAGTTTTTTCAGAATCTGATTTTTAAGATTTGATATCAGATTCGTTTTTTTCAGATTTTTCAGAATCTGAATTTTGCAGATTTTTTCAGATTCAGACTTTTCAGATTTTTCAGATTCTGACAAAATCTGAAAAATCTGCATCTGAATATTTAAGTACAGAGATTTTCAGAATCTGAAAAAACTGAAAAATCTGAATCTGAAAAAATCTGAAAAATTCAGATTCTGAAAAAATCTTTAAAAATCAGAATCTGAATATTTAAGTAAAGAAAGTGAAGAAGATTCAGATTTTCAGAATCTGAAAAATCTGAAAACATCTGAATCTGAAAAAATCTGAAACATTCCGATTCTGAAAAAATCTGAAAAATCTGAATCTGAATATTTTCGCAAAGAAAGTGATGAAGATTCGAATCTGAAAAAATCTGCAAAATTCAGATTCTGAAAAATCTGAAAAATCTGAATCTGATATCAAATCTGAGCACTTGCGTCCGCAAGGCGGCTCATGCATCATACTCGGCTGCGGCTTGCGCGGGTGCCGCGCGGGCTCACGCCGGCGGCGGCATGCGCAGGGGCGAAAAAAAAAGAAAGGTACATGATTTGGCTTCCCTTTTGCATGCTGCATGACTGTGCTCGAAAAAAGCTAAGTCTGCTAAGGGTATTAGATCCGAAAACAGATCCCAAAAGCTAACCCCGCCAAACCTTATAAGGGTTGCGACCATGTTTGCTAAGTGTTTGGCTTGGGGTTTACAACGGGGGTTATAAAGCGTGTCATATCTCCTATAATCCTTACATAGATTCTGGTAAACCTTAGAAACGACTTATAAACCTTATATAGGTTTGACCAACTTATCTCGTTTGCCAAGGAGTTTGGCAGCCTTATAACCCAACTTAGCCAAGATACTAAACGTTTATAACCTGGTTAACATTAGCCAGCCGGCTAAGTTCACGATTGCTTGTGCAAGACTGGAGGCGCTCGCGCAGAGAGCGCGACCGAAGGAGAAGGTGGCGCTCCATGGCGGCGGGGCGGCCCCAGCAGCGCGTGTAGTTGTTGACATATTTACACGCTGACGCGAGCTGACTTTTGAAAATAATGATTTGATGGAAATGAAAGCTCAAATCGAGCTCATGTCACATATCTCTAAACATGTGAAGGGCTTGTTACAAGGAAATTAGTAATACTGTTTGCGTTGTTCACATTATGGCCCCTGTGTAGCATAAGAAAGGTCCGATATTATTTTTTTAGACGGCGATC